AGTGTCATCCTGCACTACATCATCATAATACAAAACAAACAAATGATCAACATATTCTGCATGCAATACATAATCATTTTTCTTTGTGATGATGCACTTCTTGTTCTTGAAGGAAACGTCAATGTTCCGCTCATTCAGCTGTCCAACGCTGAGCAGATTATGTTTGGCGTCTGGCACGTAAAGCACATTCTGTATCGATAAGTCCAAACTGTGAAGAACAACAGTTCCGTAGCCTTTACTGGGAATAGTGTGGTCATCCGCCTGGTGAATCGCACCTTCCTGCGGTGTAAAAGACACAAACAGTCTCTTATCGCTGCACATGTGGTGGGTGGCCGCTGAATCAACAACGAAGAAAGATCTAGACGTCTTCTGGACCTCTGCAACCTTTGGAGTGAAGCGTGAAACCATAGCCTTGTGCTGCGTTGTCCTAGACACCGGACCTTTGCCTTTGCCTCGGCCTTTTCCGCGCGATGAGCTTTCGCTGCGCTGCTCTGTCTTGGCCCTGGGATGTCTGCATCCCCTCTTCATATGGCCTAGACGTCCACACGAGTAGCATTTCACTGCCTTCAAAGCTTTGGCGCCATCTGGTGGTTCCACTGCACTATGGGATGACGTCTGTGAAGACTCCCTTGCCCATGCAGCTAGCACCCGGCGATCTGCTTCATTTAAAATCACGGCAGTAACAAAGTCCACTGTCAGCTGAGCACTTGGTTGCACAGCAATCTGGGTTGCAACAGACTCCCAACCTGAACCCAAAGATTGTAGTATCATGAAAGAATACACAGCCTCTGGAAAGTTGAGTCCTCTCTGTTGCAGCTCATGTCTCAGATTTTGCATCTCCATTAGATGTAAACGCACATCTCCACCTTCAGCAAGAGCCATATTATGCAGCTTGTTAAAGTAAAACATAGTGGATCCAGCTTCTGTCCTTAAGTGAGCCTCTCTCAGAGCGTCCCAAATTTCTCTGGCTGAGGTCTTATCACGCAATAGACAGAGCTCTTCTGGGGATACTATCAATGTAAGAGTTCCCCTTGCTTTGGAATCCTTAGCTTCCCATGCATCTGTAACTGGAACTGGGGGTTCCTGTCATCACCTCAAACAAACCCTCTTTCCGCAGAATTGCCTCTGCATACTGAACCCAGTCGCTGTAATTTTTCTTGTTGAGCTTAGGAATCCCACAAGCATCCTGAAGGGCCATCATGACTCTGGCATTAGCCTTCAGCGTCATATATATGCTGCTTTAATTCTTGCTGCGTCACTGCTGCAGCTGCCTTATTACAAAGGCACACTTAAAAGTTACTTTCGATTTCCCCAGCATAGTGACTTGTGCCTGGGAGCCTTTTGCCTATTCCCGGCAAAACCGGCTTTAAAGTTCAAAGTCCAGCCATAAAGCCATTAACTTGAAGCTGGCAGGCTGCCCGGAGCAGTAGCACATACCTCATCAATCACCTCTACGCGCAGGGCAGATTCCTTTCCGATCTGTCCCTCTGCATTCCGATCCTTTGCCGGCACTCCGATTCGACTTCTGGAGTCCATAACCACGTGTTGATTTAAAGCAGAGTCTGTCGTGCCCAGTGGAAGGATGAGGAATACGTGCTGCATACTCTATATTGCTTTATTTACAGTTCAAAGCTGGTATATTACAGAAAGACATCTTGCCTCTGCCGGAGCAGAAAATGCATCCTCTCTCCTCGACAGCTCGGAGAGAATCACACAGTGAAAAACAGGAAACCAGTGTACGTCACATCCAGTCTCCCTTTCCCGTGAGAAACTCCAACAGTACAGACTGTGGAATGTAAACACCTGTCTCGTGACAAGCAGAGCTGCACAGTGAAGGAAAGCAGAAACCAACATGTACAAGCTTCTTAATTAGCAAATTTTCTAACAAAGGTTTTTAAAGCAATACATAGCTTACAGGTACTTTAGCAAAAAAAGAAAAGAATTTAAAAAGGGACTAGCTCCTATCTACTTCAAACGACTGGCTGCCTGCCCACCTGCTCTTCTGCACTGCTTGTCTGGATAGCCTGGAACTTGCTCAACCTTTTATGGTTCAGCAGACAGGCTGCAGAAAGGAAACCTTCTTTTACAAGCAGATTAACAGGAAAGGAGAGAGAGTCTCACCCTTTCTATACAATTTGAGGTTCAGAATATAGCTACTATGGGTGCGTTCTATTAAATCTACTAAACAATATATCTTATTTCTGTTAAGCCAATGGAGAGTCAGCATTTATTCCTTACACTCTACTCAGGAGGATGCTGACAGTTCTGAGCCTCTGACTGTCAGGAAACAGCAGAAACTCCTAAAAAATGGACAGATTCACCTTTTTGCATGAATCCTCCTTTATTTGGGGTATTGCCTGTGTGACAATTTGGTGTAACCATCTGCTCCGTAATGGAGATACAATGAAGAGCAAGAAAACTGGACTGCCCCCCTTTCCCACCCAGCTTAACACTCTGGACCCCAGAAGCTCCGAATTATCCTTTGCCTGATTTTGTGCAACTGAAGCTTAGAGAGCCTTTAAGCCACATATTGCCCAGTAAAGGACACGGCAATCGCGTTTGTACCACCTCTCCGTTATTAGTGTTCTTCATTTATCAGTGTATATATTACTCACGTGCTAAAACGGTGTCTAAGGGGTCTACATGTATAAAATCCACACATAATTAAAATTCACAAATTTTTTTTTTTTTATAATGATATTTATTAAAGTTTCACAAAAATACATGAAAATACAAAACAAAGAGAAAAGTATAAAGTTTTAAGATACAGCAAAAAAGTAGAAAATAAGAAAAAACGTACAAAATAAAATGGTTAAAAACACAATAATGTTCCATAACCTATCTTCCTTACTCTTATTTCCCCGGACCTCCTCATACCTCCCTTCTTTGTATTCCAATTCAATTTGTTGGTTCAGCAAATCCTTACCATTAATCTTTTACCCAATTGTTAACCTTTTTTTCCCATGTCTCTTAAAGCATTACAGCTAAAAACCTCTTAGTTTCTATCCAACATCCTTCTAAAGTTCCTTAATTTTGCAATATTTCTGTAAATAGTCCTTAAATTTCTTCCAGTCTTCTTTCACCAACTCTTCTCCCTGGTCTCGGATTCTGCCAGTCATTTCCGCCAATTCCATGTAGTCCATCACCTTCATCTGCCATTCTTCCAAAGTGGGTAGATCTTGTGTCTTCCAATACTTTGCGATAAGTATTCTTGCTGCTGTTGTAGCATACATGAAAAAGGTTCTGTCCTTCTTTGGCACCAGTTGGCCGACAATGCCCAAGAGAAAGGCCTCTGGTTTCTTCAGAAAGGTATATTTAAATACCTTTTTCAGTTCATTATATATCATTTCCCAGAAAGCCTTAATCTTTGGGCACGTCCACCAAAGGTGAAAAAATGTACCTTCAGTTTCTTTACATTTCCAACATTTATTATCAGGCAAATGATAAATTTTTGCAAGCTTGACTGGGGTCATGTACCACCTGTATATCATTTTCATAATATTCTCTCTTAAGGCATTACATGCCGTAAACTTCATACCTGTGGTCCATAACCGTTCCCAGTCAGCGAACATAATATTATGTCCAACATCTTGTGCCCATTTAATCATAGCAGATTTCACAAATAAACAAGTCCATTAAAAAGCACAACAATTAACACAGTAAAAGTGACAACTGAAAGAATAAGATCCAGATGTCCAAGTTCGGGGTTGAGGTGGGGGGATGCTTGTCTGAACAGGTGTGTCTTCAAGAGCCGGTGGAATGCTGATAGAAGAAGATGATGATGATGAAGAAGAGGAAGAGGAAGAGGAAGAAGAAGAAGAAGAAGAAGAAGAAGAAGAAGAAGAGGAGTTTGGATTTGATATCCCACTTTATCACTACCCTAAGGAGTCTCAAAGCGGCTCACAATCTCCTTTCCCTTCCTCCCCCACAACAAACAATCTGTGAGGTGAGTGGGGCTGAGAGACTTCAGAGAAGCCCAAGGTCACCCAGCAGCTGCATGTGGAGGAGCGGGGAAGCGAACCTGGTTCACCAGATTACGAGTCCACCACTCTTAACCATGCTGGCTCTCAGATACAGATGGAGGCCTCTCGTTCTTCAGCCAGGAGGGCATTCCACAACACTCGTGCCACTGCCTGGCATTCAGCAGGCCAAGCAGTCAAAGTCAGCTGGTTCAGAGGAACAGGCACACAAATTCTCAGCTGTGAAAGCTCTTCTTTCAACTGGAGCTCTCACTTATTGCAGTGAAGCCATTGCAGGGTTCGGATGACACACACACCTTACACTGAGAGAACACGTGATGGGCTTGTGGGACCATTCAGGCTAATTTCTTCCTCCTCCTCACCATTTTGTGTTTGTCATCCATCAGAAGGGGCTCTAGATGGATCCTGACATATGCACGCATGGGTTTGCCAGTGTGGGGAGTTTTTACTGGAGCCAGAATCCACCATTGTGTAAAGGACCTACACCCTCAGACATTTGCATGCACAAAGAGCCCCCTTCTGACACATTTACTGGTTTAATTTATATTCCACATTTCCTCCCTAAGGAGCCCAGGGCAGCAAACAGTAAAGACATATTGAAATCAATTCCAATGCAGATGCAGACTGGGATTGAGCTAAGAGGGCAAGGAGACCACTTTTGGGTCAGGCCAGGGCCCCTCTAGTCCGGCATCCTGTTCTCACAGTGGGTGACCAGGTGACCATTATGGGAAACCCACAAGCAGGACCTGGGCACAAGAGCAGCCCTCTCACCTCCTCGGGTTTCCAGGCAACAGGGATTCAGAAGCATCACTGCCTCTAACCAAGGCAGCGCATAGCAATCATGGCTAGCAACCATCAATAATCCTCTCTTCCTTGCATTCCGAGCTGCAGAAGAACTTATTTGGGGCATGGCACCTGATTTGAGGTACAGGAAAGGTAGATGACATCGTCCCAATCCAACCAGCTACAAATGGAGTTTGCCAGGTAGGGTTGGCGTTTAGGGGGGGAAGGGATTCAGTCTCAACTCAGCCTGAGTTTCACTATGACCCTGCCTGGGAGGAAAACCCTGGTGACCCGTTCCCGGATCTCCTTGGTCCTCACTCCATACACAATGGGGTTCAGCATGGGAGGGAAGAGGAGGTAGAGGTTGGCCAGCAGGATGTGGATATGGGGGGCCACGGAGTGGCCAAAGCGGTGGGTGAAGAAGGAGAAGAGGGCAGGGCTGTAGGAGATCAAGATGACGCAGAGGTGGGAGCCACAGGTGCCAAAAGCCTTGTGCCTCGCCTCGCGGGAAGAGAGACGGAGCACCGCACGGACGATGAAGAAGTAGGAGAGCCCAATGCAGAGAAGGTCTCCTCCGATGACGATCAGAGCCACACTCAGCCCATAGGTGCGGTTGATGCTGGTGTCCCCACAGGCCAGTTTGACCACTGCCATGTGCTCACAGTACGTGTGGCGAATGACGTTGGTCCGGCAGTAGGACAGCCTCCGGATCAGGAAAGGGCAAGGTGCCATCAGCAGCGTTCCCCTGACTATGCCGGCCACAGCCATCTTGGCCACCAGTGAGCTGGAGAAGAAAGAGCTGTACCTGAGCGGGAAGCAGATGGCCACATAGCGGTCCAGCGCCATCCCCAGCAGCACCGCTGACTCCATCATGCACAAGGCATGGATGAAGAACATCTGGGCCAGGCAGGCAACGGCTTGGATCTCCCCGCCCTGGAACCAGAAGATGCAGAGCATCTTGGGCAGGGCAGAGGTGGAGGCTGCCAGGTCAATAGCTGCCAGCATGCAGAGGAAGTAGCACATGGGCCTGTGGAGAGCTGGCTCCGTGGCCACCACCAGGAGGATGGTGCAGTTCCCGGCAATGATCACCACGTAGATGCAGGACACTGGCACAGAGAGCCACATGTGGTAGGCTTCCAGCCCTGGGATGCCTTGCAGGAAGAATGTGGGAGGCCAGGAGTGGGTCAGGTTGGCCATGGCCATGAGGAACCAGCTTCATCAGAGGCAGATGATTCACCACGGCTGCTTAGCTTCACTCACAGGACTCCTGAAAACCAGAGGAGAAAAACAGACACACACAAAGGTGACATGAGAAGATCGCAGAACTGCAGAGTTGGAAGGGATCCCCAGAGTCATCTAGTCCAACCCCCTGAAATACAGGAATCCCAGTTAAATAACTCCAGCAGATGGCCATTCAATCTCTGTTTAAAAACCTCCAGCTTCTGAGGTCATAGAATAACAGAACTGTAGAGTTGAACGAGAGCCATCTGTTTCAATCTCCATCAAAGCAGGAATCCCGGCTGAAGAATTCCTGACAGGTGGCCTTCCAATCTCCCTTCTGAGGGAGTCTGTTCCACTGTCACACAGCTCTTACCCTCAGAAAGTTCTTCCTAACGTTTAGTTGGAACCTCCTTTCCTGCAATTTGAATCTGTTGGTTCAGGTCCTCCGCTTTGGAGCAGAAGGAAACAAGCTTGCTCCATCTTCTGATATTTGAAGGTGACTATCCTATCAGCTCTCAGTCTCCCCTTCTCCTTACCCAACTCCCTCAACCGTCCCTTAGAAGGTTTGATTTCCAGACGCTTGATCATCAGATATGGGGGGTGTGTGTGTGTGATAATGCTCCCTGCACTAGCATCCTCTGTGACTCTGCACAGAGAGCTTTTGCTTCAGCTGTCCTGGCGCTATGCATGGAACTCCAGCAATGAGAGAAGAAATACATACTGGGGGAACATGTGGACTGTGCAAGGTCCAGCCCCAGATATGGAGGGACAAATCTGTCCATTTCGGATTGGCTCAGGTTCTCATTTTTCCAATCTTCACTTCAGTTCTTCACATTTGCACGTAAAAAACATGAGAAGAGCCTGCTGGATCAGGCCAATGGGACTCATCATCCTGGTCTCACAGTGACCAACCAGATGCCCATTATGAGAAATCCGCAAGCAGGATCCAAGCGCAAGATTCCTCTCCCTTCCTGCAGTTTCAGCAACTGAGATTCCGAATCACTGCCGCTTCCCACTTGGTTTGCATTTTTAAAAAATAATATTAAAGAATTCCTTATGAATATTCATCCGGATTTTTGGTGGGATTATGACAACAATTGTAATGTAACAAGAACTATGGTATGAACAGAATTTTAAGGAATGGAATGGAAAACATTATATGATGCTGGTGGGAAAAGATTGACAATGGACTCCATGGAGGGGTGGAGAGGAGTCCAAGGATTCAGGGAATCCTACATTTCTATTATTATGGTTTATGAATGAGCGTAAATGTTAAATGTAAAACTGAATAAAAAAAATTGAAAGAAAAAGAATATTCAGCAGGATTTTAGTGCATGTTTCTCCTAACATTTATACAAAATGTTGTCCAATATGCACATTTTTGGAAAACCCTTTTTCTTATTACAATGCATTTCTGTATATTATTTTCAGTCACATGTGTGTTGTTGCTGCTGTTATTTCGGTTTATTACCCACTCTTCATAGGGAAAGTTAAGTTAATTTAAAAGTCGATATTAAAAACAGTTAAAAACAATCACTATACTTATTCCTTGGCCATGGAGCTGGGATGCAAAACTCAGAGAATTTCAAAGGGCAGCTCTGTTTCAGCTCAGTTCAAATTAAGGTAGTTCATCTTTAGACAAAAGGTGAACTGAATTCCTTCCCCTCCCTTGTCCCACAGGGATCAGGAAGAAAAGCAGTTACACGAGGCACAACCTTATGAATGAACAGAGACAGATATCCTTCATGGAGGAGAAGATAATCTATGGTTCCTAGCCAGGATGGCTCTGCTCTGCAAATCCACAGCTGGAGGAAGCAATGCTTCTGAAAACCAGCTGCTGCAAATCACAGTCGGGGAGAGGGCTCTGGTGCTCAAATGCAGCTTGCGGGTTTCCCATAATGGGCCACTTTGAGAACAGGATACTGGACCAGATGAGCCATTGGCTTGATCCAGCAGACACTTCTTATGTTGTGGAGGCTGCGCTGGTGGCCACCAAAGGAAGCTTGAAGTGCTGACTTGCTCTGTATTAGAAAAACTCACCAGGCAGGCAGCGGAGAGGCAGAGTCCTTGTGGGGTCCTGGTGATACCGATTCTACAAGGGGGCACCTGTGAAGAGCAGGCAACAGCCTTTACAGGCTGCCTTTGCCAACCTCCCAGCAAAGATCCCCAGAAGCTGAGGCCCTGGTGCTTAAGGGCAGCTGTGCAATGTTGGTGGGAGCACCTGGGCTTCCTCCTCTCACCTGCTAAATAGCCTCTCAGGTGTTTCAAGTTTGCCTTCCTGAGAGATTTGGCTGGCTGGATGTGTGGGGCTCATGAGGCCACCTTGAAGGGAGCAGATGGAGAGGCTTCTCAGCCAGGAGGTTCTGCAGGTATAATGCTGAAGAGCAGCGCCAACATCTCTGCAGCATTGCTGACCTTGTGGAGCAAAGAGCAGAGCACCACTCCTTCCAGTGAAAACAGCCAGTCCCCAAGAGACTGTTGGAAAACAAGAAGGTCTTCATCTGCTGGCAGAATGATGACAAGGAGAGAGCCTGGTCTAACTTCTCTAGGCACGCAGTTCCAAAATTGCCTGGTCTTTCAGATAGCTTGGACCTAGATAATTTTTAATTTTCTAGTACATGATGTTTACTGTTCCAAATAAAAGATTGCTGTCCAAATGATACAAACTGTCATTGAGTTCAGACTGGCGAGTCTTCACTTTTGAGACACAATCAGCTCAGTTACTAAAGATGAAAGGAATGCATAAGAATACGATGAAAGAATATGATTCCAGCCCCTTTAACTAACCAGAAAGGACTTGAACGCACCATAAAGTGAGAGGGGTGCAATCCGGGTTTATTCTCAGATGCTTGCTTGTTCCTTTTATGGGTACAACAAGGTCATACTTTATTATGCTTAAATTGGTTTTATTGATTCCACACACACCCATTTCACATTGTATATCACTTTGAAATAAAAATAATACAAACCAACATTTGAGGTCAGCTGCAAGCCTGATGACTCCATTCCTGGGTATTAAAAGAGGCCATTGTGAGGCCAGGAGCCACATCTGAAGGCAGCTCTGTTTAGGGAAGCTTTTAATGTTTAATAGGTTGTTGTATTTTAGTGTTTTGTTGGAAGCCGCCCAGAGTGGCTTGGGGGGACCCAGCCAGATGGGCGGGGTATAAATAATAAATTATTATTATTATAATTCATAGGAAGGAAAGGGGGGTGGGCAGCCCTCCAATAACAAGGACCACTCTACCTCAAATGCCCCATTCACACCCCCTGTTAATGCCTCCTTTCCCCCTATGGGTAGACCGCTTGCCATACCAAACACCGACCTTTCCATTCACAAGGCGCTTGGCCAATCCGCAGCCACCATTTAAATAGCTGTAAAACTAGCAACCAATCAAAACCTGTAATCTTGACAGCTACTGAAATCCTAGCCTATTGGAGAAGAGTATGCCTAGAGAGTTATGAAACAGCGCCCCCTACCAAGGGCTACACTGGCACTGCAGCCGTAAAACCAGCCTCATCTCTAGCTTTAGAGCAGGCATAGGCAACTTCGGCCCTCCAGATGTTTTGGGACTACAACTCCCATGATCCCTAGCTAACAGGACCAGCGATCAAGGATGATGGGAATTGTAGTCCGAAAACATCTGGAGGTGCGAGGTTGCCTATGCCTGCTTTAGAAGGTTCTTTTGTCCTGAAAACTTTTAGAAATTCATATAAAATGTTTCCTGTGATGCATTTACACCTCTACTCAGAAGGTAAATAGCTATCAGGGGAGGAGCTATGGACATGAGATGGGGCAGCTATAATCCCTGAAGCTGAGACCACATGTACTCAGCTGGCAACACTGCCTGGGTGATAATCGCTGGCATCCTGACACCTGAGTGCCAGACAGGTAGTCATTCCAAGAACAATCGCAAACCCAACCTCAGTGGATTGGGGTCTCAGTCAAGACAAAAGGGCGTGCTTAACTTGGCTGGGAAAACCTTTGATTCACCTAAAGGGTGGGAGGTGGAGGTCAGGTGAGGGACGGGGCAAGTCTGGTGCTCAGATTTCTGCCAGAAGACCCCTCCCAATTTGTGACATAGTTATGACAAATGTATGATGTTTTACTAAAGGTGTTATGGGTAACTTCTGGAAACTTATAAAAAGGAGAGCCATCCTTTGTTCGGGGCTTCTCTCTACTTCTTCTATGTGGTAGTTTGAAGTCTTGTTGCAAGAATGAAGACCAGGCCTACGGGCTGCTGTTTGGCTCCTATATTTTGGCTGGAGTCTTTACTGGCAACCCAAGTGAGTCTGAGGAATTCCCCACTAAACTCTCTAGATGTTTTGGACTACATCTCCCATCATCCCCAGCCAGAAAAGCCGTGCTCGATGGGGTTGATGGGAGTTGTAGTCATAGAGGGCACCTGGCTGGTGAAGATGGGGTAAGGTGTGTGGTGCAGTGGATGAGTTCACTGTTAAACCACTTTTGCAAAAATGCCTCTTTGGGTCTCTCCTGCCTTGATAATGGTCCCTTTTTTGGAGCTCCAGATCACTATGATGCGCCAGTCAAAGTGGTCGGGTGGTACAGATGATCTTGATCCATTTCACCCTTGGTTCTAACCCATTTCTGGTCTTAAAACAGCCTTAGGCACCTTGGTGGCTGACCTATCTCAGGAAAGGGGAGCTACACCCCTGTTGGGAATGGGTGGAGAGCTTGTCTTTCATATCAGTGAGGGAGACCACCAGAGGTCCTTAGCCCAGCTCCCATCATTTGTAGAAATCAACCAATGAATCCAACAATAAGGGGAAGTTTCCTTATAAACGTGGAAGAGCGCAGAATAATTCCTCCTGCTCCTCGAGTTGAGTGTTACTCCCTGGCTACTTCCAGAGTCAAGAGACTAAAGGAGGCACCTGCTCAAAGAAGGTTCTCATGGGAACATTTAATTAATGGCACAGGCAGCAAATCAGCTGCATTGTTCGAGGCACCGTGGATCTCCCCATCATTGTTATTGTCTGGGGGCTCCTAAGCTGCACTATCATCCTCATCATCCCCACATCAAGAAAGTCCTCTATAAACGCTCATAGCCTGTCCTCTTTCTTGCAACCAAATATTGCATGCAAACTCTCTTTCCCCAAAACAAAATGAAAAGGGGGGAGAACAGCATTCTTCCATGGCAGCTTAGACAACATGGCCTTCTCTCAGCTACTTGGAAAAAAGCAGCAGTGAAGAACTCAAGACTCAGAAGCCTTACCCTTGGAGCTCAGAGAGACACAAGGAGGCTCTTCCACAGCATCTTAGCAGCATCCAAGAGAAGACTCTTCCTGACCCAGCAAAGATTCCCTCCAGGCCGCTCTACTAGCCCCTGAAACACTCAAGGAGGGAGACTCGGATCAAGGAGATCAGGATTTCTCCATGCCCTTCACTGCAAGTTGAAGAAGAAGAAGAGTTTGGATTTGATATCCCGCCTTTCACTCCCTTTAAGGAGTCTCAAAGCGGCTAACATTCTCCTTTCCCTTCCTCCCCCACAACAAACTCTCTGTGAGGTGAGTGGGGCTGAGAGACTTCAGAGAAGTGTGACTAGCCCAAGGTCACCTAGCAGCTGCATGTGGAGGAGCAGAGACGTGAACCCGGTTCCCCAGATTACGAGACTACCGCTCTTAACCACTACACCAAACTGGTTATCCTTTTATTCTTGAAGAAGAGTCAGGAATTCTTCCTTGCATTCCATCCTCAAAGATGACAACTGATCATATCCTCCAATGCTCCATTTCTGTGTGAGAGATCTTGGAAGTGAAAGATAGTAGCCGAGGTTCATCATGGTACAGGATACTTTTTCCAACCTGAGCACTGCAGTGCTTGCCCTGAGGGGCTTCCCTGGGCTGGAGGAGGTTCATGGCTGGATTGGGATCCCAATCTTCTCTGCCTACCTGGCAGCCGTCCTAGGAAACAGCACCATCCTCTATGTCATACGGACGGAGCCCAGTCTACACCAGCCCATGTACTACTTCCTGGCCATGCTGGCCACCACTGACTTGGGTCTCTGCCTTGCCACGGCCCCCACAGTGCTGGGCATCCTCTGGTTCCAGGTTGAAAAGGTCAGCAAGGAAGACTGTGTAGCTCAGCTCTTCATCATCCACTCCTGCTCCTTCATGGAGTCAGCTGTGCTCTTTGCCATGGCCCTGGACCGATTCCTGGCCATCTGTTCTCCTCTGAAGTATGCAGCGCTGCTGAACTCCAGTAGAGTGGTCAGAATTGGAGTTGTCCTCCTGCTAAGGAGCACCTTGTTAATACTGCCCCCTGTCTTTCTCCTCTTGACGTTCCCCTACTGCCCTAATGCTGTCCTTTCCCATTCCTACTGTCTGCACCAGGATATGATTCGCGTGGCGTGCACAAACACAACCTTCAACAGCCTCTATGCTCTCACCTTAATCCTCCTCACAATGGGTTCTGACCTACTCTTCATCCTCATCTCCTATGGCCTCATCCTGAGGACTGTCCTGGGCATGGCCTCTGATAACCAGGGCCACCGCAAGGCCCTGAGCACCTGCGTCTCCCACATCTGTGCCGTTCTGGTCTTCTACGTCCCGGTGCTTGGGCTCTCCATCGTACACCGGTTTGGACAGCATGCACCTGCCCTACTCCACGTCATCATGGGTAATGTCTACATCCTCCTGCCACCCTTGATGAACCCCATCATCTACAGCATCAAAACAAAGCAGATCTACAGCAGAATCCTCAGAATGGTCAGGAACTCCTGAAGGATTTGTCAGTTCATGGACTGATTACTTCATTTTATTTTCCTATGTTTGTATCCTCCTTTTCCCCCATCATGGAACCCAATGTGGCATTCATGATGTTCCCATCCTGCTACTGGCATGCTTTGCTCCAGCAAGGCGGTGACCTCATGGTCCTTCAGGCAAGATCCTGGGACCATTCATCCAGGGGAATTCCAAGAGAGAGCCAGTCACTCAACTCACTGTGACCAATATCGATTCATCAATATTGTGCCACGCACTGTAGAAAAACAGCGTTTTCCCTCTCTGACTCAGAGTTGTATCAGTTAGGATGCTATTTTTGTTGGGTTGTTTCCCTCTATGTCTAATGTTATCATATCTCTTCTGCCTTCTCTAAATAAATACAAGATTAAACAGCCTGGATAGTCTAGCTGGTGAGAGTGTGGTGTTGATTATGCCAAGATTGCAAATTTAACCCCCCTGTGGGACAGCTGCATATTCTTGCAGGGAGTTGGACCAGAAGACCCTCTGGGTCCCTTCCAACTCTACAATTCTATGATTCTAATATTTTATCCTGGGTTCTTTCGTTGCTGTGGCTGATTTGCTACTAAAAGTACTTGAATGCCACCCACCCACAGCTAAGTAAAGCTCATGTGGACACAATGGGTAGAGGAAGAGGAGAAGTGGTGATAGGCTTCATTCCACACAACTGGGTGAGGGTTGCCTGCTAGTGGTAGACCTTCTCAAGATTTGGTGAGGGTTTCCTTCAGGGCCTGGACTCCTGGCCATTTAGTCACACAGCATCGCTTATGGGTCAGGTGGGTGTTGTGTGTAACTCTCAGTTCCCCCAAATGTTCACTTTCCAAGCTTCAGCAGGTGCAGGAAACTGTGCCCTGGATAAGGGAACCTCTTGGGCTTGCAGATCATAAGGTCAGGAGTTTGAATCCACGCAATGGGGTGAGCTCCCATTGCTCTGTCCCATCTCCTTCTAACCAAGCAATTTGAAAGCATACCAGCGTGAGTAGACAAATAGGTACCACTGCGGTGGGAAAGTAAATGGCATTTCCACGTGCTCTGGCACTCATCATGGTCCTCTGTACATCATCAGTAGTGGTTCAGTCCTGCTGGCCACATGACCCGGAAAACTGACTGCTGCAGACAAATGTCAGCTCCCTCAGCCTGAAAACGGAGATGAGTGCCACACTCCACAGACAAATTCAACTGGACTTAACTGTCCAGGGGTCGTTTACCTTTTACCTTACCTTACCTATCTGTTTATTTGGTGGCATTTTGTAGCTGCGACTACACAGTGAACCAGGCAAAGCCAGTGGGGTTTTTTCAGGGGGTACTCAGGGGTACACAGTTACCGGCACCTCTTTTTCTGGTTGTCAAAAAGTGTGGCACTTACTGTAGCAACTTCACTGTGAGTACCGGTACTTATTTTTCTAGGGAATAAGCAGTGGGCAAAGCTGCTCCATCTTGGAGTTCCTCTACATGCTTGTATAAAACAGGAGAAAATAAGTGTTGGAAATGTAAAGAAACAGAAGGTACGTATTATCATATGTGATGGCAATGTAAGGTTATTAAAAAATTCTTGGAAATGATATATACTGAACTGAGAAAAATGTTCAGAATAACCTTTGTTAAAAAACCAGAAGCCTTTTTATTGGGTATTACAGGAATGGATCTACCTAAAAAACATAAGAATCTGTTTGTGTATGCGACAACAGCTGCCCAGATATTGCTAGCCCAACATTGGAAAGAAGAAGAAGTCCCCACCAAAGAAGATTGACAAATTAAGTAAATGGAGTATGCTGACATTGCTAAATTAACCAGGAAACTTAGAAATCAAGGTGACAAATTTTAAAAAGAATGGGAATTGTTTATTGCATATTTACAAAAGCAATGTACACAAGTTAATACACTACCAGGATTTTTTTTTTTTAAAAAAACCCCTTGTAATACTATACACAATGTATAAAATTGGAAGTAAATATAGATAAAGATTTTATTGACATGCGAAAATGAAAATAATATAAAGGAACGGGGGGGCGGGGGGAGTCAGAAGAATCAAGTAATCCGATTCTGTGGATTCAATATTAATTGTATATATAATTGTTTTAAATGTTTTATTTTATGCCTTTTAAGGTAATGTTTTTGCTATTATGAAAATTAATAAAAATTATATATAGAGAGAGAGAGTTCATCTACATGCTGAGGGTATACGGGGGGGGGGAGAAAAGCTCTTAAAAGGAAAGGCTAGTTTAGAGTAATTTTTAGCTATCTCACTGCAAGTGTGGGAAGTTTAAGCAGAGGGACTCTGGTCATTGCGAAGCCTCTGTGGAGTTGAAGCACTTTATTAATAGAGCCACAAGGAGGCTCTTCCACAGCATCTTAGCAGCATCCAAGAGAAGAGACTTCCTGGACCCAGCAAACATCACCCCCAGGCCCCTCGTCCATCCCCTGAAACTCTCAAGCAGGGAGACTTGGGTCAAGGAGACCAGATTTCTCCATCCCCTTCACTGCAAGGTATCCTTTTATTCTTGAAGAAGAGTCAGTATTAGAGTGTCTGCTTTGCATGCAGGAAGTCTCAAGGTCATTGTCCAGCATTTCCAGGTATAGATGTGAATGTCCCCTATCTCAAAATCCTGGAGATCGGCTGCAAGTCAGTGTAGCCAATTTTGAGCTACATGGACCAATGGTCCAACTCAGTTTATTACAGCTTCCTATGTTCCAATACTTTCCACTCCTGAATGGCAGACATCTTCTGCTTAGGGCACAGCTTAGATTTCTACAGGAATTCTTCCTTGCCTTCCATCCTCAAAGATGACAACTGATCATGTCCTCCAAATGATCCATTTCTGCGTGAGAGAACCTGGAAGTGAAAGATAGTAACTGGGGTTCACCATGGTGCAGGATACCTCCGCCAACCTCAGCACCACAGTGCTTGCCTTGAGGGGCTTCCCTGGGTTGGAGGCAGCTCATGGCTGGATTGGGATCCCCATCTTTTCCATCTACCTGGCAGCCATCCTAGGAAACTGCACCATCCTCTATGTCATACGGACAGAGCCCAGTCTGCACCAGCCCATGTACTACTTCCTGGCCATGCTGGCTACCACGGACCTCTGCCTCTGCCTCGCCACGGTGCCCACAGTGCTGGGCGTCCTCTGGTTCCAGCTGAAGAAGATCAGCAAGGAAGCCTGCGTAGCTCAGCTCTTCATCATCCACTCCTTCTCCTTCATGGAGTCAGCTGTGCTCTTTGCCATGGCCCTGGACCGATTCCTGGCCATCTGTTCTCCTCTGAGGTACGCAGCGCTGCTGAACTCCAGTAGAGTGGCCAGAATTGGGCTGGTCCTCCTGCTAAGGAGCACCTTGTTCCTACTGCCTCCTGTGCCTTTCCTCTTGACATTCCCCTACTGCCCTAATGCTGTCCTTTCCCACTCATACTGTCTTCACCAGGACATCATTCGTGTGGCATGTGCCAATACAACATTCAACAGCTTCTATGCCCTCGTCCTCATCCTCCTCACCATGGGTTCTGACCTGCTCTTCATCCTCATCTCCTACAGCCTGATCCTAAGGACTGTCCTGGGCATGGCCTCTGACAACCAGGGCCACCATAAGGCCCTGGGCACCTGCGTCTCCCACATCTGTGCTGTCCTGGTCTTCTACATCCCGGTGCTTGGGCTCTCCATCGTACACCGGTTTGGACAGCATGCACCTGCCCTACTCCATGTCATTATGGGTAATGTCTACATCCTCCTGCCACCCTTGATGAACCCCATCATCTACAGCATCAAAACAAAGCAGATCTACAGCAGAATCCTCAGAATGGTCAGGAACTCCTGAAGGATTTGTCCTGATGGATTGATGGTTTCATTTTATTTTCCTATGTTTGTATCCTCCTTTTTCCCCATCATGGAACCCAATGTGGCATTCATGATGTTCCCATCCTGCCACTGACCAGTCACTGACATGCTTTGCTCCAGCAAGGCGGTGACCTCATGGTCCTTCAGGCAAGATCCTGGGACCATTCATAAAGGTTGAAGTCCAAGAGAGAGCCAGTCACTCAACTCACTGTGACAAATATCGATTCATCAATATTGTGCCGTGCACTGTAGAAAAACAGCGTTTTCCCTCTCTGACTCAGAGTTGTACAGGTTGGTTTGCTATTTTTGTTGGGTTGTTTCCCTCTATGTCTAATGTTATCATATTTCTTCTGCCTTCTCTAAATAAATACAAGATTAAACAGCCTGGATAGTCCAGCTGGTGAGAGTGTGGTGTTGATTATGCCAAGGTTGCAAATTTAACCCCCATGTAGGATAGATGCATATTCTTGTAGGGAGTTGGACCAGAAGACCCTCTGGGTCCCTTCCAACTCTACAATTCTATGATTCTAATATTTTATCCTGGGTTCTTTCGTTGCTGTGGCTGATTTGCTACTAAATGTACCGTATTTTTTGCTCCATAATACGCACCTGACCATAAGACGCTCCTAGTTTTTAGAGGAGAAAACAAGAAAAAAATATTCTGAACAAAACAGTGGATGTATGATTTTCGTGGTTCATGCTGTGGCCACAGATGTGATCTGATGGTAAATTTGGGGTGACCCAATGCAAAACTCCTCAGGATCCATGTGGATCCGTGCTTTGTAAGCACATTTTTGCACCATTGCAGCCCCAGGAAACAGTGGATGCCTGAGTTTTTTGGTGCAGGCTGTAGCCATGGACATGCTATGTGATCTGATGGTGAATTTGGGGTGACCCAATGCAAAAATCCTGAGGATCCATGGGCTTTTACCTCCCCTCTCCCAGGCAGCCTCCGCTAGCGTCCCTTATCTCTCTCCTGATTCCACCGATCAGCTGCTTCCTTTCAACACTCCCTTCCCTCTTGTTTGCCTTAATGTCTTTTCCTTAGCTGGAGCAGCTTTTTGCTCCTCCTTTTCTTCTAATTTCTCTCCTTGTTGCTTTAGTCTTCCTGTTTCCCCCTTTGCAAGTTTGCTGTCTTTACCTCCCCCCTCCCAG